AGCCGGGCGGTGGTGGCGCACGCCTTTAATCCCAGCACTCGGGAGGCAGAGCCAGGCGGATCTCTGTGAGTTCGAGGCCAGCCTGGTCTCCAAAGCGAGTACCAGGAAAGGCGCAAAGCTACACAGAGAAACCCTGTCTCAAAAAACCAAAAAAAAAAAAAAAAAAAAAAAAAAAAAAAAGTAATGGGAGATGAACTGGAAGCTGAAAAGCTCCCCCACACTCATAGAATACTGACACATTGCTAGAACATATTCATTCAAACCAAGAAGACAATGTAAAAGGAAGCTTGTGTTCTGTAAATATTTGAAGCATTTCCTATGAAAATCATCTGTGTACTTTGTGAAGAAAGAACAAAAATAATCCACAAATAATATAAAATGAGAAAAAACACAAACAAATTGGAACCCTTGAAAGGAAGCTCAAAAATATACATGATATGAAGATACATTAGAAATAAGTATGAAAAATAATGAGTACTGTCATGAAGGAAACAGCAGATATCAATTGGAAGACAAGGTAGTTGGAGTTTAATATTATATGGAGATACTATGTAATTTTCATCAAAATCCTACAGACACTATTTTCGGACATGGAAAATTAATTCTAAAAGAGATAGACCTTATAATAAAATCCAAATGTGACAAAATTCTATGTTGGAATAAAACCCTGAATGCAGCAAATTTTCAAAATTTATATTACATTGGAAACATAGTAGCAGCAACCAGTCAACATTGGTATGAAGACATGGCCAGTGATATGAATGGAATAAGGACAGCCTCATTCCTATGCAGTCAAAAGGATATTTCTTCCTACTATTAATTCTTAGAGTATATCTCCTGCAATTCTCAGAACTCCACAGAATCATTTCTAATGAAACAGAATATGGCAAAACTGATTTCATGTCTGGTTTCCACTGTCACTTGAACCCCTCACCAACCTTGCCTCAATGCCTCCAATATATCTGGATCCTTTGGTACTGTCTCTTATCTCTTCACAATCCAGTGCATTTTGTTCTACACCATGGAGAGCAGGCATAGATAAGCAGTGTGGGAAAGGCTCAAAGGAAAGATATTCTTGAGAATGCCCCTGGATTATTAACATAGACCTGTGCTCAGTAGATAAAGATAAAACAAAAAAGAGGATTCTAGAAATGATTTAAGTCATACAGTTAGAAAAGACTGATATTTATGGAGCATTTTTCTTGCTTAACTTGAGGCTCTCTTCTAATCAAAGCTCACTCAAAACATGGGGTCCCTGAACCTACGTCCTTGTTCAGGGCACCACCTGTGGGAGGCCAGCTCCCATCTTTTAAAGGTTCCTATGAGGAGGAGAGAGGAATAAACTATTAGATAAAAAGACAGTGGAGAGGAGACAGAGACACAGGATAGCTTCAGGAGGACCTGGATCAAAACCTAACAGTTCCTTCTGTCTCTTCAAAATGGCTTTTTATAACAATGCCAAGGGGCAGGGCAAAAGACTTCTGCCTTGCTAGAACAAAGCATACAACACAGCCAAGTGCAGACCCTTCTAAACACCTGGAAAAAACGGGCATGGTGGCTCAGATTTTTAATCCCTGTACTCTGAAGGCAGAGGCACCCAAGTTAGCATAGTCTACCTAGTGAGTTAGAGCAAAGGGAGGGCTTCGTAAAGAGACACTGTCTGAAAAGATAAGAAATACAGAAAAATAAAATGAACACTTTATTGCTGGGCAGAGTGGTGCACACTTTTAATCCCAGCACTCAAGAGGCAGAGGTAGGTGGGTCTCTGTTAGGTCAAGGCCTGCCTGGTCTACAACATGAGTTCCAAGACATCCAGGACTGTGACACAGAGAAACCCTGTCTTGGAAAGCCAAAAAAGGCATTTTATTTAAAATATAAAGTGCATACAACTGATGTAGAGAACATGGAGCCTTGCCCAGATTAAACTGGAGAAGGAAAGTTAAAACACACAGTTTACCACTTCAATGGAATGAGGTGGGAAGCTGCTCTTCCTGGAAAGCTAGGAATGATGTTTTACAACCCAGTGATCCTTTGCTGTCTCAAGAGACACGCTTTGCCTTATCTTGTACTGTGCTTAAATATGACTAATGCAAAATGATCTGGGCCAGACTTTAGAAGTCCTGGTCCCTCACCAATTACAATAAAATCAGGCTGAGCCAAGTTTCATTCATGTCTCTTCATGGATCATATTTCCCTGCCCGCCCTAAAGCTTGCAGAGGAATCACCACAGCTGGTGCTACAACATGGAACATGCGACCCTCAGAGAAGGTAATAAAAGTATTTTGTAAATCAAAATTAGTGGAAACTCGTACCCAAGGGGCTGCAAACATGAGAGTAAAAATTATATGGATTCTTTGCAGTACTTTGAGATAAAGCATTTTGTAAAATTATTAAAATATTTGTTCAGATTTAAAGAAAATATTCAAAGCAGAAACTATAACTTAATATGCATAACCCAAGAAAAGGGAGATAAAGTCCATGTTAATTATTTTACAAGCTGGAGTACAGTAATGTATTGTTTTCAATTTCTCAGAAAATAAGGAAAGAGGGAATTTTTCAGCCACATATCTTGACAGGTCACTTGGTAGGATGAATCAAAGTATACTACAGCCACTCAAGCTTCCCAATGGTCACAGTGCCATGTTGGAGTGTTTACCCACATGGGTAATCTTGCAAGAACTCAAGGCCCTCCAGCCTGCAGCTTTCAGGTGCTGGGGCTGTCTTTCTGTATGCTATGAATGTGTGTTGCTCTGATTTGGTTGATAAACAAAACGCTGATTGGCCAGTAGCCAGGCAGGAAGTATAGTATAGGCAGGATAAGCAGAGAGAATTCTGGGAACAGGAAGACTGAGTCAGGAGTTGCCAGCCAGACACAGAGGAAGCAAGATGTCAAGGCAGAACTGAGAAAAGTTACCAAGCCACATGGCTAAACATAAATAAGAATTACGGGTTAATTAAAGTGTAAGAGCTAGTCAATAGTTAGCCTGAGTTAATGGCAGAGCAGTTTTCATTAATATAAGCCTCTGTGTGTTTACTTGGGTCCAAACAGACACAGATCTGTGGGTGCCTGGCAGGACCAGGAAAACATCAGCTACGTTGAGGGCTGCCAGGCTCTGGTGGAGCAGAATGACTTGCAAGGAAAGACCTATGGAACTCCAACACCATCACGAGCTAGCTTGGCTGCCTCAGAACTTTTTTTTTTAAGTTGCTTGATTTTTGTTTAAATGTTTGTTTTTTCCTCACAGTGGAAATAATTCAATGTTAAAGGTCTTTTTATGGGAAATATATTTTTGGTTTTCCCTCACAGTAGAACTCTTTATCAATGGTCCATTCAGAGGAGAAAAAATTCAAAGAAGCACAAATTATAGTACAGAGACTATTGCAATCAGGGTATACAGCACTAAGCCAATGGTGTTTGAATTTCCAGAGGTATTATTCATATATTACATGGAGGATGTTATCTTTTCCTGATCATCTAATTTATGTTTAAGTAAGTGCTTAACTTCCATGGTAAGAGCAAAATTTAAAATTTTGCGGTCATATTACTAGGAATACTCTTATCTGAGATTTGTCTCTGTTCTTTAAGTTGCTTTCTGAAAGTTCTCAATTAAATTCTACAAAATTGTTACATCTAAAACAGAGCAGGCTATTAATTTATCAAATAATAAAGTTGCTAAAGAGGTAACTCAAAATAATCCATTACTGATAAATAGCCTATAAGAATCACTGTGCTCCTAGACAAAAGGCAGGTGAATTGTTTCAAACTGATAACTGATGGGTACATTAACACATTATTTGGTTTCTATATATAATTATATAAAATTTTTCCTCTTAAGATTTTTAATGATACCTCTTGCTTATTGCCTAATATTATATCTAAAAATCTTGTAGATTTAGGATTTTTAATTCTTAAAGATATCGATTTTAGTGCTTTTATAGATGACTCTTTAAAGGAGCAAGAAACATATATTCTATATTCAAATTTTTCATGTTCTTCAAAGAATGTACCCATTCCAAGTGATATAGTACAAAATGATAAGCCATATTTTCTTGGGTTGAACATAACTTTATTCTTGTGTTAAAATCTGTGAAAAATTTATGTAATTGCATGGTTTCATTCACTGTAACATACTCTCGTCTTAGGTTGAAAATTAATGGTTTTCCTATTTTTAACATCAATACAATGCTTTGGAGTGAGACTGTATATTTAGGCATTTCTCAGTACTTCAAAATAATCTTCAAGCATGTTTTTAGGGATTTCTAAGCAAACATAAACATGGACACTGTGTCCAATTCAGTTACTCTAAGATTCACAGTTTCATGACATGTACAGATGGACTGACCCATGTCATTAAGTGGAAAATGAGTCCTTTGTAACTCCTAATTGAATAATGGTTCATGATGAACTTTTAAGGATATCTACAATATTAGCATTGTTTAAATGATATAACAAAAAGAACTGAAATTAAATACATTCCATGTGGTTTGTAGGATGGAATTTTAAGGTACAGTACAACAGAACACAATTATGTGTATTATGGTCTCATGGGGAGCCTTGTTTTGAGGGTCAAGGTTGGAATTTGGCTGAATTATTTGGAACTTCAGAGCCATGTAGGGACACAGCCCAGTTTGGATGATGTCTCTCCCAGATACAGTTTGTAACTGTATTTTCCTCTTGTAGTCTTCTACCTCAGTCCTCCTGAAATTCAAGGAAGAGATCATCCTTTTTTAGGCTCCCAAAGTCTCTACATTCTATTTGTGTGGAGCACTTTCAAAAAGTTAACCAAGTACTATTATGGCTGTAAGCCTGAAACAGTGAGCACAATCAGTCTTATCTACTTCACTGACTCAAATGTTTTCTCTCTAATATCTATTTTCTATTGTACATCAAGTTTGGAGGAACAGTTAAGCACATGATTTATGAGACAGTTTTCCTGGGGAGATGCAACATACATATGCATCTACTCACCAACAGGGAACTAAAAGAAAACCAAGTCAAATTTGCTGAATCAATGAGATTTATTGCAGTTACTTCGAGGAATATAGGGAAGCAGTTGCTTACTGGAGCACAGGGGACTCAAACACAGTTGTTATCATGAAGCTCCAAACAAGCATGGGATACAGCATATGAATATAGGACACCTGGAGCACACTGAACACCTGCAGGCATATCTACAAGTAAAAGAGCATCATATCTCGATAGATCATTTTGTCAAACCCTCTTCAAGCTATATGATCTGTCTGAGTTTCTTGAGTTAATCATACTGAATCCTGTCAGTTTCAGAGATTTCTTGAAGCTATTTGGAGGTGTATATTTCATGCTTTAGTCAGCTCCCTTCCAAGAGGGATCGCTTCAGTCTCCAGTAAACTGCTACACAACAGTACATTCTACAGGTTTCTGTGTTTTATATTCATATTGAAGTATTGAACGTTTCACAGTTTAAAAAGAAAACATTTTCAGAATTTCCCTCAGTATAAACTCTTGATGTATTCTAAGATTTTAAAGTTATTTAAAAGCTTTCACATTTCTCATGCTCACAATTATTCTGTAGTGTGAAGCCTTAAGTATTACTAAGGCAGAATATGAATGAATATGCCACATTATTTCCTATGGAAACTTTTCTCCCCTATTATGACTTTTCAGAGGTTTTCCATAGACGTGAGAGGCAGTAAAGGCTTTCCCTCATATATTACATTGTAAAGATTCTCTCTGGTATGAATTCTTTGATATGTTCTCAGGGTGATTTGTGGGCAAAGATTTCTTGCATTGACTATGTTTGTAATGTTGCTCTTCTGTATGAATACTCTAATGTCATCTAAGAGATGAGTACATTTTTAGGATTTCTCTCCCGTATGAATTCTCTGATGAGTTATAAGAGTGCTTTTCTGGTTAAAGGATTTGTCACATTCACTACATTTATAAGGTTTGTCTCCTGCATGAATTTTCTGATGTCTTCTAAGATCTGAGCAAGTGATAAAGGATTTGTCACATTCACTGCATTTGTAAGGTTTGTCTCCTGTATGAATTCTCTGATGTCTTCTAAGAATTGAGGAAGTGATAAAGGATTTGTCACATTTACTACATTTGAAAGGTTTCTCTCCTGTATGAATTCTCTGATGAGTTCTAAGATCTGAGCAAGTGATAAAAGTTTTGTCACATTCACTACATTTGTAAGGTTTCTCCCCTGTATGAATTCTCTGATGTCTTCTAAGAACTGAGCAGCTGATAAAAGATTTGTCGCATTCACCACATTTGAAAGGTTTGTCTCCAGTATGACGTCTCTGATATCTTCTACGAACTGAGCAACTGATAAAGGATTTGTCACATTCACTACATTTGTAAGGTTTTTCTCGTATATGGATTCTCAGATGACTTCGGAGATGGCCTTTCTGTGTAAAGGATTTGTCACATTCACTACATTTATAAGGTTTCTCTCTGGTATGAATTCTCTGATGTCTTCTAAGATCTGAGCAAGTGATAAAGGATTTGTCACACTCACTACATTTGTAAGGTGCCTCTCCTGTATGAATTCTTTGATGTCTTCTAAGAACTGAGCAACTGATAAAAGATTTGTTGCATTCACCACATTTGAAACGTTTGTCTCCAGTATTACTTCTTTTACATCTTCTAAAAACTGAGCAATTGATAACAGACTTGTCACATTTACTACATTTGTAAGGTTTTTCTCGTCTATGAGTTCTCTGATGACTTCTGAGATGGCTTTGCTGTGTAAAGCATTTGTCACACTCACTACATTTGTAAGGTTTCTCTCTGGTATGAATTCTCTGATGTCTTCTAAGATCTGAGCAACTGATAAAGGATTTGTCACATTCAATACATTTGTAAGGTGTCTCTCCTGTATGAATTCTCTGATGTCTTCTTAGAACTGAGCAAGTGATAAAGGATTTGTCACATTCACTACATTTGTAAGGTTTCTCTCCTGTATGAATTCTCTGATGAGTTCTAAGATCTGAGCAACTGATAAAGGATTTGTCACAATCGCTACATTTGTAAGGTTTCACTCCTGTATGAATTCTCTGATGTCTTTTAAGAACTGAGCAGTTGATAAAGGATTTGTCGCATTCACCACATTTGTAAGGATTATCTCTGCTATTTCTCTGATGAGTTCTAGTATGTGAGGCAATGGTAGAGGATTTGTTAAATTCACTACAATTGTGAGGTTTCTCTCCTGTATGAAATCTCTGATGTTTTCTAAGATCTGAAGAACTGACAAAGGATTTGTCACATTCACTATATTTGGAAGTGTGCTCAACAGAATGCACCCTGGAATGTCTTTTAAATTCTGACGTATGGTAAGAGCACTTAGGACACTCTGTACATTTGTTGGTTTTTTCTCCATAATGGAACTTGCAATGAACTTTGTGTTTCTGTTTAGTATTTTCTCTATGATGACTACTAAGCCTTGAGTCTATCTTGAAGCATTTTCCATACTTTTGGCTTAGGTGTGGTTTCTTTCCACTATTGGTTCTTCCCAGCATGAGTTTATGTTTAGAGTCAGAAGATTTATCATGCTCTGTATTTTTGTTTTCTATCTTTTCTGCCTGGACACTTTGATTTTGACTAATGATGAAACACAAATTTAAACAGTTTAAACAGCCTACACCTTTGCAAGGTTCTTCTGCAGAGTCTCCACTTTTATGTCTGTTTACATTTAATGATTCAACAGAGGAATCTCCGTGGTTACCAAATATGTACTTGTTGAAGATTCCTGTGCTATCGCTAGTATTACAAGGTGTATATTGGGAGGATTCATAAACAATTTTGCCAGGCTCATTACAAGGCTTTGCTTGGGTACACACATGCTGATGAACAGTATGCTTTGATCTTTCATCCAAGACATTCTCATATTTATAACATATGCAGTGGTTCCCTGGAAAATTAGCACAATTAGGGAAAACATGAATTAATGCATGAATAAGAGATTTCATAACTGATTTGCCTTAAATTTTCTATAACATAAAAATTAACAATTCTGAAACATAAGAGCTCTCGCCAGAGGTCTTTTCTGTCTTATTAAAAGGATGCTCAGAAGAACCTCCACTCTGATCTATTATTAAACCACAAGGACCAACAGTGGCCTTCACGTTCTTATCTAAACTGTGTACCTTGCAGAAGATAGGAAAAATAGGTTAAGCAATAATTAGGAGCTCCCTGAAGCAACATACGAATAGTGTTTGATTATTTTCTTGCACAGGTTTTTGAGATTGAGTCAAACTGGGCAGCTATGCTCAGCTAGGAACTCAAACTCATTATTTAACCCAGGTTGTAATGGAACTCAACATACCCTCTTCCTCCAGCATCCCTACTTCTAGGATTAAAATCATCCAAATAAACCAAACAAAAAACTATGCTCACTAGCCACAGCTTTTTATTTATTTATTTAAACCTTCTAAACTTGAAAAATCAGAAATAGATCAATAGTTTAATTCAATAGTAAAGCCAAAATATTCCAATTATTGTGTGTACTGCAATATAGTTCCATGATCTGGATATTCAATTTTCTTTGCACTTTGAAATTTTCTTTAAAAACTAGAGAGGGGGGCTGGAGAGATCACATAGAATATAGCATTGATTATGCTTCTAGGGAAAATAAGTGTAAGCTAAGCACCATGAAAAAGTTATATGGATAACCAGAATTTCCTTATTTCTGGGAGTGTCCAGACATTTCTGAGAGATTACATATAAACAAAGTAGGTAAATAAAAAGGATGTATCAGGAATTCTAGAGAAGAACATTCTTACCTACAAAGACTAGATTGTTGTAATTCTCCAACATTACATCTATGTACAATGCCCTCTGAGCACAATCTAGGCATTCCCATTCTTCCTTCGAGAGGTCCACAGTCACATCCCTGAATGATAACAGAGTCTGCAAAGGGAAATTAAATATATACTATGTGCTGCTGGACAAAAATGGATTCCTAAGTAATAGAGCCTAAGGAATTAAAGACACTCCGGTGACATAGATGAGGCATGGTATTTGTGCAAAATTTTCTAGCAGGGCTGCAGAAATGTGTTAGATGTTAATCACTGCTGCTATTCCATAGACAATGTAGTGAATGACTTACTATATTGCTAACATTCTCAAGGTCTCTCTCCTTCATGAATTTTCTGACATTTTCTAAGATGTAAAAGATTTGCCATAATCACTGCAATTGAATATGGTTCCTGGTGTTTAGATAATGAAATGACTTTTACAGTCATTGAAAATGCATCCTTGTAGCACTGTACAACAGATTTTAACCCCAATTCCATGGGAACCCATGTTTGCTTCTGAACACTACAGACAGGAGACTTACATAGCACACAGTCATATGTTTAGGTTAAGTATACCCACATACATAAAATAACACTGACATTTAATTATAATAAAAAATACTTGCTAAAATAGTCATTGTCTGTATTGTACTTTCTATCTCTATGAAAGGAAGATGACATAATAGGCTCATAGTTAGCAAACTTTTAGGGAATAAAAACCCTTGTGAGGTCTACATGCAGAAACTTATCTTTGTGAGGTATGTGTTAATATCAAGTAGGATCCCTGGGTCAACCCCAGATGGTCAAGTTTTAATGAGCAAAACTGAACTGTGCTTCCAAATTCTACAAATGTCAGACCTTGCTAAACTACGGACACTGGATTGATCCTATCTGTAGCTGGGCCACACCATACTATATTCTAACATGTTCAATTGAGATCCTGATACCTGGATGCAGTTCTGCACCCTTTCTAAAACAAAGATAAAGAGTATGGAATGCAGAGTTCATGTATGAATTAAAATCAGTGTTTTCTTTGAATAGTGAGTGGAACATCTGCACATACAGCAAAGGTACCAAACAACAGTTTCAAATGCTTTGTGCAGTTACTTTATGAAATTATTTTCACAACCATTAAGTAAATAGAAAAATCAGCAATAGACAGAATTAATATTTTGTAAATTTTTCTACAAGTTAACTCAACAGTAGAGATAATAACAATTTCATGAACACCATATGGTGTTTCACTACAAAATAGATAGAAATATACGTGAAATTAAATGGTATATGGGACAATGCATTCAGATGAAGTAGAAACATTTTCTCTGAAACAAATATATTACGATTTCTGAGAATGCACTAATTCTTCATTAATTTTGAACATATTATTACACATGAGATTGACTCAACTGAAAAAAAATCTTTTCATTTCAACTCTATTCTTTTCTTCAGTATTTGAGCTCAGTCATTTAACAGGATTTTGGGTTATAGTTAAGTGTCATTTATAATTCTTCCTTCATTTCTCAAAAAAAAAATAGAAGATGCAAGTTATATACTATCTGTGTCTCAAATATACAACAGGATGGGACACCTTGGCATTAGAGAAATGGCTCAGAGGTAAAAGCACTTGCTCTTCCTGCAGAGAAATCTAATTTAACTTTCTCTACACATATAGCTGCTCATTACATTGTCTGACTCCAGTACCAAGGCTTTGATACCAAGCTCAGGGATCAATGTTCATAATGCATCTTGCTGTGTGCATAAAATCATGCAGAAGAACACTCATATACTTTAATAAAATGTAATTGTAAAAAGAGAAAGGGAAACCTGCCCATCACCACAACTCTTCAGAATCTCTCCCTATGTAATATATAGCTTCAGGGAGAGGAAAACAGGGTAGAGGGAGCCTTACACCTCCAAAATGAGTAAAGTGATTAATTGGGACATTTGTTTATGCTTCAAAATTGATGGCTTATGCACAGCACCAATTCAATTCTCTCCAGAAAATTCTTACGAATATGTTCCACAAGATGTAATATAAATTGGAGACATTGGTGCTTATTTATGTCCTTCTGAAAAATAAATCAAAAGAGAAAGAGAAAATAATCATTGGTTTATTGACAACTTACAACTGAGAAAAATGGTATGATCAGGAGTTCTCTGATGAATAGATTTCCATTGGCCACACTCAAGTCATTACTGTGTAATATTAGATGTCACAGATACTACTATACTACAATCTGCATTTGCTCATACACATATCAGTTTTATGGCAAAAGCAAGACACTTATTCAGTCCAATATCTGTACTCTTTAGAGTGCGGATATATTTACTATTGGGATTCAAGACATGAATCTCTTCTAATTTTCCTTAAATTGCTCCATGATGTCACTGAAAAAGCTTATACATTTGCATGTCCACATTCATAGGCCTGCTTCTGGAAACCCAATCATCACAAAAATACAATCTATGTGGAACATGAGAACTTCCTTCCACACTAATATAAAAGGACACAAGTCCATCTTATGTAGATACTGGCCATCAATATGTTTCTTTGAGGATCATTTGCAATAGATTCTCTTAAAGAATTGCAGGACTTAAGTCTATGGAAATTTATGCCCTTGAAGTAAAACATGGAATGAAAATATAATTAGATAGGCTATGCTAAGTAGGTGATAGATCTATTGACTTACTCTTGACTATCAGAGAAGAAAAAGAAGATAAATCATAGAAAATAAACACTTCAGATAATATTACCAGAGGCAGAGAATTAAAATCTTGAATAGTTTCAGAAGAAAACCAAATTTCAAAGAAATGAGAACATGACACTGACCTCGGAAGCATCTACTAGAGAAGCATTCATTCTTCTTGTTGCTCTTCTCCGAGTTTCTATGTCTGGAATTGTTGTTGAAATTTCACATCAACATGTAAAAACTACAAAGCTAAAATTAATACAATTCTGTTATGAGCAATACCAAACTGCATAAAAAGAACCCAAAATCAAAATGATACTAGAAAGTTTTTCAACATTCCTATAGACATATGAGCACAGGAGGACATATTTAGAGTTGAGAAAGAAAGTAATTATGAACCTAATCTTTGCATCCAGAAACACTGGCTCCTAAACTGCATGGAGAAGGAAAGACACATGAAGAAGTTTCTGAAATAACAAAGGTCATCCACTCAAAAACATTGCAGATCATAAGTATTGAAGACTACTAGGGTCTAACCTCCAAGTCTTTTCCCCAGCATTCCTGAAGCGAGGCTACCAGTGAATGGAATTAATCTGAGGGAATGAATCTAAGTACACTGAGATCTTTAGTCCATTGATTTTATTCTTGAAAGACAAAATTCTATCTACACAGCTTCAATTCTGTTCTCATACTTAGCTCCTCTCTGTCCCTTCTCCTGTCCTCTCATAGTTCTAACTAAGTTCTTTCCACCTTATTCTCATCTTCGTTCCTTTCCTTCCTCTCTCCATCAACCATCTGCATATCCCTACAATCACCAATCCTCTGCCTCTGCCACTCTCTGGTCTGGCAGGGCAAGTGTACTTGGTTGCTAGGTTACCTGTGTCATAGCTTGAATGCGCCTGATATGTAAAGACCCTTTTTATTCTTGGTATATTGTTCCAGGGGATGTCTAGAGGTGCCACTTGGGCTGTGAGAAAAGTGAGAGTCTGAGACCAATTTGCACAACAAAGCTATGTACCTAATGTCAACCAAGCCTATGGGGTGTCTCTGTATGGATATGTACCTTAATTCCGGAGACTAGCAGGTGGTCAGGAATTCTTATACTGTCTGTCATTTGTCCTTGGATGTTTGATAGGTATCTCTTATAAAGTGCTTTTGTCCAGAGCTGGCCCTGGCCTTGGATGGTTGCTAAAAGAGGTAACTGCAGAAGGCAGACATCTGATTCTAATGCTAAAAATCCAGGAAGCAGGAAGCCTTGCCCATGTGACTGTTATCCAAATACCTTAATTGTATATGCCCAAAGATTGATCACTCCACACTGTTTAGAAGTTCTTAGGAAAAAGAATCAATTGGGGAAGCTATAATAACACACATGAAATTCATACCAGAAAAGAGCTGATATATTCAAAAGCCAAAATAACACCAATACTCCGTGAGCCCAGGGCTTCTTCTGGAAAAATTCTTTACTCTTCTACGTTATAACTTTGCCATAGTCAGCTGAATTCCTACTACATTTTCTGCGGCTCATAGCAGCAAAGTATAAACAGAAAAAAACCAGAGTGAAATTGGCCAGGACAATACAGCAAATAAAGCATTTTATATAAAAAATAAATGGATAGAGGAGAGCTGGGGAGTATTAAACTATTTCCAACCAGCAAACTACCCTTTCTAACAAGAGGGAAGAAAATTAATACTAGTAATTTTACCAACAAGAATATTAAAAAAAGAAATACACATAATGAAAGCCCTAAGAGAGAATCCCAGTAGATACTGAAATGTCATACGACAAACTTGAACAGATTTTGTGACAAACCCCTTAAAAAAAAAGGAAGAAATGGAACATGAATCAACGCAGTAAACAGCAGGTGTGTCACACTGAGACCAAGAGTACAAGTACAGAGAAAAGATAAACAGCATTAGCAGGAAAACCATAAGGAGAGGAAGAAGCATACATTCCCCAGTCTTATTGAATCCAGGGTCATAAGAGTGAGCTACAGAAGTCTGAATAACAGAAACAAATTAAGGAGAAATAGGTAGGAAAGAAAGGTACCAAACTGTATTTAATGATGATGTGATTATACACAAAACTCCCTATAGTCTCCATGGGAAAGGCTTAGACTGGATAAGTGCTTTATGTATTATTGAGAAGTGCAAAACTAACAAAAGAAAATCACTACCTTTCCTATGTACTAATAATAACAATTTGGAAATAAATTTAGAATTTTAAGCCATTCAGGTAGCTTTCAAAACATATAGGAATAATGCTATGTAATCATGAATTCACTTATATGAAGAAATTTTTAAGGCACTCAGAAAAAAAATAAGCAAAAAATAATAGTGTGGTGGTATAAATAAAGTTGCCTGGGGTCAGAGCTATTAGAGCCATAGCAAGTGTGTGGCAGTGGTGGCGTACGCCTTTAAGGACCTGGAGGGCGGTACATACAGGCAGTGACAAGGCAGTCACATGATTGGGTTTACAACCAATCAGAAGCCAGAACAAGGAGACTATAGAGACAGACACACAGGAAGTAGGGCTCCTTTTCGGAGAGCTCTCTGGGCTGAGGAGGATCCCTGAATCAGGAAGGGTGAGGCTCTTGGCTCTGACCTCTTGGCTTTCTTCTCTGAATCGGCTCTGTGATTCTTGTCTGATAAAACCGTTGGCTACATCTATACTGAATTACATCTACATAATAGTTCACAAAGAAATGGACTTTCATGCACACTGACTGATAAATGGAATGGTGTAAATGAATTTGTTGCAACTCTGTGGGTTTGGTCCCAGGATCTGGCACCAAAATGTGAGTTTTGCAACTCTGGGGAAAGATGTCCTGACTACCTTGGAGTCGGGCAACACCTTGAGCTGCTCAGAACAGCTCTGGTGGCTGTGGCTGGAGCTGCAATGAGGCAGCCCAACCCTGGAGGGTGAGATATTCCGGACACCTCAAGTCGCTCAAGACAGCTCTGCCAGCTGGAGCGGCGAAGAGGTAGCCCAACCCTGGAGGGGAAGTTTTTCTGACTGCCTGGGGAAGTCAGGCCTGGAACTGCTTCAGCAGGAAAGGGTATCCTGACGGTTTGGGAAAGTCAGGCCTGGAGCTGCCAGGAGCTCTGCAGGCAAGGGTATCCTAACTGTTCGGGAAAAGTCAGGCTATATACCTGGTGTGATGGGGTATGGTCTCCTCGAAGGATATAGCTATCCTGCTCCTCTACTGGAGAGCCACTAGAGCTGAGCTTTGCTCAGCCCCCACTTAAGGGGGCTTCCTATCAGAGCTCTGCTTCTCCCACCTAAGAAACTGCAGAAATGTAGCAATCTCCTCCGGCTCCAGAGAAAAGTGTTACTTTTTCAGCTCTCTCTTGCTCTGTCCACTAAGGGATGTCTCAGCAAGGTTCTTCTCTGAGTCAATGAATGAAGGTCTTCACACCCAAAACTCTTCTGAGAAAGAGATTTGGGAAGGAGTCCAAGAGAGTAGCTGCCTCTACCATGGTGGAGAGAACAGCTCACAACTGACCAGGCAGAACAGTTTACAGATGATGTCTTGGGGGTGGAGTCAACCAGTGATTGGTTATTTTTTTTTTCTGCCCAGGGATTGGTCAGTTTTGTGGGCTAGGGACAGAGATGGTCCTGATATCAGGGCCAAACTGTGTTTCTGGGTTCTGGGTTTGGGGATAAAGTGTTCATTTCTCTGGCTCAAGTCCCAAACCCAGGCCGTGTTTCTTTCTCTGGTCCTGGGCCCCAGGGCCAGGATTATATTGTTCTGCTCTATGATTGGTTGATTTCACAAGTCAGTTGTCCAGGGGCAGAGATGGCTCTGATTTGAGCCAAACTATGTTTCTTTCACTGGCCTTATCTGAGCCATCTTTCCCTAGTTCTTGGCTCCAGGGTCAGGGTGGGTTTCTTTATCCAGACCCTTTTCCCTACAAATGGTGCATGTGGTTATATTTCTAACAGCAATCAGCAGAATTGATGTAATCCCATAAGGCAAATACTGAAATTTTCTTCAAGAGTATGGATATGGTCACAGGAAAATCACAAATATAAAAATTAACTTTAAGAAAGAATATTCTAGTGGTATCACAGGACCTGACCCCATATCATGATACAGAGGCACAAGGACAAAGACAGAATGTTCCTACCATGAAGTATGTAGAAAATTGAATAGAACAGTGATATAATATAAGCCAAATACATCAAAGACAAGTCCAGGAAAAGAGAGTCTTTTGAAAATCCTCTGCTTGGAAAAAAGATTATCTATGTGCAGACAACTGATATTAGAGCCATATCTCTCACCATACATAACAATCAACACAAACTAGTTCAAGGACATTCCTGAAAAACTTTAAATACTAAAAGAGATAGAGGAAAACCTGATTTAAATACTTAATGATTCAGATACATTCAAACAGTGAATGAATGATTCCAGGAATACAAAAATTAACCAGGAAAAATGAAAAAGGGATTTCATGGAGTACAAAGCTCCAAACGCCTGAAAACTACATGAAGACTGCATAGTAGCTAAGGAAGTTCAGTAAATATTTAGGTTTTCTTCACACAAGGGGCTAACACTACAAAAAGAGCTGCTTATTGTAAATACATGAAGTCCAAACCATCTACACAGAGAACCTTGGGATAGGAACAAGAGCTTTAAATGAGTTAAGAATAGAGAAAATAATAGGTAATAGAGGATTGGCAGTGGTTGTGTCTCAGAAGGTTAGTTAAAAATACTTGCCCTTGTGAATGAGGCTTATAGGAGGAAGAGCCCCAAAACCATGATGCAACCTTAAGGGTAGAGATCATTAGAAATGAACAACTCGAAATTGTCTTAGTCATAGAAGAGTATAGTTTTTAATGACAGCATCTCAAAGCTCATAGCTCAGGAAAAAAAAAATGCTTCCATGGTGATACAGGGCAGGGGAAGACTGTTGGTTCTCCAGATTTTTTTAAAAAAAAAATCATCTCTAATATGAACTCACAGTCACAACCCCAAATCAGTCACATCCTGATAAAAGGTTTGAGGTGTTCTAAGATTTTATATCATTGCACATCAGCATTTCTAGGTAGTAGAAAACACTTAAAATATGATATGTGACCCTTTGGTCACATTTCATTTCATTCTACCTGGCAGATACAGTACATTATTTACCATATGTGTCATGTGGTCTTGGAGAACAGGTACATTTTCTATCCACCAAATATGTTTTTTTCTC